GCTGCCTGGTCTTGTGGTACTACTTTGGACTATCACTACGATGGTCTCAAACTCAGCCCTGCTGCCATCTCCAGCTGGCCTGCAGGAGGTCTGGGTTAGGACGTAAAGAGCTTTATTTCAAACAAACGCCCAAAACCTACAAGACAAACAAAATGCCCCATAAATTACTTCTATCAGTGCATTAACGACATAAGAAGACCCAATATATTATTTTAGAAGATTAATAGAAGGAAATATTGATGTAATTAGCACAATTTACTTACTCTACATACTCACAAACCTGTTGTAATGAATAAATAAAACGCAGCTTTTAAGAGATTGACAAATAACGTAAATATTGATTTCCTTGAGAATGTTTCAGGCACTATGTCTAAAAATGTGAGACACCAAGAGTTTTATTACTAGAGAGTATTTTTAAATCCATTTCATTTCCATTTGTCTAGATTCTTACCTGGCCAAGCAAGGTCAATGAAAATTTTCCATTTACAATACGGACAACTCAGGTATTGATGTTAAATACAGCATTAATAATTATCTTTTTTTAAATAAATAATTGTCATTGATGATCATAAGTAATTCAAGTACGCAAAAAAATGAATATAGTTTTTAAAATTAATAAAGTTTTTTTTTTATGTCATGGCAAAATAATGACTAAAATGGACAAGTAATGTCCTACTTGAAGAGCTGTTGACTATTGCTTAACCTTTGTTTCCCACAGATAGACATATTAAAAGAAGAGCAAGAAGACTCCTCTGAATCGGATAGAAGCTACCAAATGCCATCAGACATGGGTCCTGGGCCAAACCTCGACATTTTTATCACGTTATCTAAAGACACACAAAGCAACAGCAGCGAAAAGATGTATGGTCCAGCTGACCTCAGCGTCTTCAACACTAAGGATACACCTGCTGGTTTACAGGTTTTTTTTGTTTGTTTCCCTGTTGTAATGTTTTCGTGAAATATTTTTTAGCTTTATATTATTTTTTCATTTTTTTAATCTTCAAAACCATCATTAAAGTGTGATACTGGAGGCTTAAATCTCAAAGTCCCTAAGTTTACTGAAATGTTATAACATTCGGCCTCAACTAGGGAAAAATTGGCAGTTGATCATTGTGTCATTCACATAGCATCCTCATTATATTGGCCTGTAAATGGGCGCACTTGCCTTGTTTGTTTGTTGTTTTACATAATTCGGATGTTCCTTCAGAGTTGAAGATAGTTTACTTCCTAGTCCAAACCTCCCGCAGGACGATGGGGGATGAGAGCGGGCAGGGTTTGAACCCTCGACCGTCGATAAATCCGAACGACAGTCCAGCGCGCAAACCGCACGACCAGGCAGCCTTGGCCACATGACCTAACATTGTAAAGGGTAGGCATGTGTAACTCCTACTTCACCTGTTAATGATGAGTCCTAGGTTCAATAACTTTGAAATAGTGAAAATCTAGATCGTGAATATTTAGATCAATAAACTCTAAATAGGAAAATTTAAATCATGAATCTTTAGATCAATAAACTCTAGATAGGGAAAATCTAGATCATGAATGTTTAAACCAATAAACTCTAGATAGGGAAAATCTAGATCAGGAATCTTTAGACCAATAAACTCTAGATAGGGAAAATCTAGATCATGAACCACTATATCAATTCCTCAATAACATTTCTTCTTTTTTTTCAAAAGCCTTCTCTAGCACAGCTCAGCACACATCACACTGACAATGGCACTGATGGACTTCACATGAAGCCTTTCAAGCTGTCTCCTTTGCAAAGAGCACTCCTAGGAGATGAGCAGTCTAGCAGTCAGTCTCTGCCGCCACTGAGAGGAACAGGTCTGCCCCCAATAGCTCCAATGGAAGAATCTGCTCTCCACAACAGCTAGACTTGGTTCAACAGCTAGCTCTAGAGTTGGTTCAACAGCTGATCCATGCATTGGACAAAGACTTTGACATTGAAATTCAAGTTCACAGAAATTGGATATGGTGTAATTTAATTCAATTGTTTCCATGGTGGAAGCATGTGGCTGTACACATTCCATGATTGGATTCCAGATTCTACAACACTCTTGTATTTATGCTGTAGCTTGATAGAATCTAGAACTTAATGTAATTTGTTTGATAAATGTTCTTGTTAATGCTATGATTTCGAATCAGATCAGGCTGTAAGCTCTTCTTGTATCTTGTTAGTGTTTTACTAATTGTTGACATTGAGATTACTTATCTCCACAACACTCATGGAACATGTTGGCTTACCTCCCTTAGACTGCTTGGTTCTCTGGATACATTCATTTCCCTTATTCTGCTTCATCATTCTTATTAAAAGCTGAGTTTAAGACTCTTGCAACTTTACGCCAGTGGAAGCTTGCCTCCATCTACCTGTCTGAAAAAACTTCTGTCTGAGAAAGCGCCTAGTAGATGTAAATTATTACATCCCTATTACTGGCTCAAATCCCAAGATGCTCTGATTAGAAGCAAAGCCAAGGGCCTTATTCCTAAGTGAGTTGTTTCAAATTTTTACCTGGAATTGTTCTATAATGAAAGAAAATTTTGCTTGCATCAAGTAATATTTCTAAATGCCATAGAGTATAATTTATGAAAATAATCTTTTAAGATGTTTTTTACAGTGTCTTAAAAAAGAAAAAGGCTAGATTTTTTTTGTTTTTTTCTTTCACACCTTTTAATTGTTCTAATTGTACAATGACAAACTGTTTTTGAGTTTGGCATCGATTTTTATTGACTTGGTTTATCATGTCCTGAGATTCAAAGCCTGCTTTCTTTAGGTCAACATCACATGCCTGGCCATAAGTATCGTTAAAGGATTTTATTATGTGTACTATATATTCATGTAAAGTACCACATCATTTGTCTGCCAAGAGACGTTGCTTGTGTACTTTTAAGCAAGTTGCTATTTGCTGCTTCTGTGATAAAGAACTATCCAGCTTTTTTTCCTGCTTGTTGAGTCATACTAGTTCTCTATTTGTTCTCTACATTCATTTTACTGTCTTTTTTTTGTATAAATTATAGACTGTATCTTATCTTATAAATTATAGATAATTACATCTGACATGTATCCCTGTCTAAATTGTTTTCTCTATGGAGAGAGCTGATGGACTGGAGCTTTAATATTACTTCCTTGGCCAATTTTGTATTTTGTTTAGTTATTCTTTTTTTTTTCTGAATTCCTGCTTGGAAAATTTTAAGCAGATGTCCCACTGAGTCAAATAATTCTGAATTCTAAGAACTCTGTTTGAATTTCCTTTTTTTTTCTTGGTGAGTCTCTATAATTTCTTTTCATAAGTAGGCAATCTTGTCTTCCATTCTGAAGTGATGCCTTAAACTAGATGTTAAAATGTAGATAGATTCTAGATATCATCACAACATTCTGTTAATAAATCCTACAAGACATTTTGCAGTACGACTGTTAGGACTAATAGGTCTTTAGCTTTTGAGATGTATAAATCAATGATTATGAAACACTTCAGATTGATAAATAGATAGTCTGAGGTTTGAACACTTTTTATGAACAGCTTTCTTTAAGACATTTGGATACAGCTTATTAACTTTTTTATTTTTTAGTGAACACATGAAGTGTATAACATCGTATCTTATCTTATATAATACAGACGTTACTTCAAAAAAGAAGATAATTGAACTTTAAAAAATTCCAGATTTATTTTGTGCATACTAGGTATCGTCATGTAGATAATAATTGATATATTTTTATATTAAAAGCAAAAAGTTACATACTTGTGAATACATATATATATATATATATATATATATACTATGCAAATTTTTTTTTAATTGATAAATACATTAGAATGATGATGATTATTTGTAGATACAAACTTTTTAAATTTATAATAACTACAATGTTTTATATGAGAGTATGCAAAATGTAAACTTTCAAAATCACAAGCTAACTTAAAAATTGCATAAAGTCTCAAAGACTAAATCTACAACAATGATGTTAATTTGAGTTTGTTTTTTAAATGTTTTAATTTTCTTTCTTTTTTTGACTAGACGGAAGACAAATGTGATAACACTCAATTTTTATACCACTAGCCTCACACAAATGTATTTTCCATACATTGCCTCACACAAATTAATTCACCACACATTACCCTCACACAAATGTATCACCACACATTATTGCCTCACACAAATGAATTCTACATACAATACTCCCACACATTTTGTCCAAACTCCGAGCTTTTAGATTAGAGATTGGTTGTTCTAACTGAATGATATTATTGAGCTTCACTTCTGCTCTGTGCCTCAAATATTTTGTTTCTTTGAGAATCTCCACAATCCTTATTTTTACTGTTTTTGAAACTGCAAAATGCGCTTGTTTTCTGTGTTAGTAATATGAAATGTCATGGCCTGATTATTTTTTTATGGTTTGAATTTTACATTTTGAAACATTCTAGATTTACATTTTTTTCATCTATTTTTTGTATAAAATGTTTATACCTTTATTACATATCTGCAGAATTTCCTTTTTTAATTTTTTTTTTCCTATCGAAAAATCATTTTTTGTTTGTAAGTCTTTAAAGATATCAATTGATATGTTATAACTCTTCAATGATATCAATTAGTATGTTATAAGTCTTTAAAGATATCAATTAGTATGTTATAAGTCTTTAAAGATATCAGTTGGTATGTTATAAGTCTTTAAAGATATCAATTAGTATGTTATAAGTCTTTAAAGATATCAATTGGTATGTTATAAGTCTTTAAAGATATCAATTAGTATGTTATAAGTCTTTAAAGATATCAATTGGTATGTTATAAGTCTTTAATGGATAAAAATTGTTTGATTGTAAATGTCAGAGAGATAGCAAGATAGCAATTATAATTCATTTTTATAGTTATTTTTTTGTGTTGCAAAGAAAGCAAATTAGAATTTCAAACCACAAACTGGTCAGTAATCTCTTTTAGTGTTTTTATTATATTCATGTTCATTATATTATTGTTCAATATTGCGGATATTTTTTAATTTTTTCTTTTATTAATCTCATACACATAAATTGATCTTATATGTTGAACTGGCTGAGCTGTACCACTCACCACTCTGTCTTAGGGTAAAAAAAATAAATCTACTTAATGACAAGGTAAAGTTAAGGAGAAGAATTTACTAATCATGTTGGCATGTCAGAGCTCCCAGTGCTGCTCAAAGTGATGTTCACTCCAGGGCTTCACATTTTACAGCTCAACATTGAATGACATTGTTGAAATCTAAAGGCAGATGATTGTGTGGTCTGACCAAAGAGGTTTTTTATTATTATTATTAAATGTAACTTGCTGTGAAAATAGTCAAGAATGTCTCCCTACAAGCCACCAAGACTTTGGACCACTAAGAGTACATTCAACATACTAATGGATGCATTTCGGGCAGAATACTTTTTCTATTTTGTACCCAGTTTTTACTTTTTTTTTTTAAAGTATTAAGTATAGATATCCACAAAGGCACCCCCCTTCCCAAATATCCCCCTGATCCAGACACAACTTCTTCCCCACCCCCCACCCACTATTCACTTCTTAAATTTTGTTTCAGTGATTTCCAATCAAATATTTTATCTCAATTGACTACATTTTTAAAGATAGCTTAGCTTAAATTATTTGAGATTAAGTTTATTATTTTTGGGTAGACTTGTATATTTTAAAATTCCAGAAGCAAGTAAAAAAAATTACTGAATTTATTTCATATTAATATTGTTACCATTCCACAGAAAGCTCTTCAATTATGTGGGCAGGGGTTGCCCAGGGAGTAGCTTAAAACTTTCATTTGACTTTGTAAAAGTTGGCAAGCAATAGAGTAAAATGAAAGATTGTTAATATAGAATTATATAGATAAAGTGGTCCAAGGCTGAACAATAAGATCAAACTTCATGTCTTGAAACATATTTTGTTCATTACTTGATCAGTTCTAAAGCAGGATTAAGCCTCATGGCATTGGATTTGTATGTGTTTTATATTGAATCTTTCTGTATTTTGACCAAGTCCCAATGTTAATGATACAAGAATTGTTCTAGTACATTTTCTAAATATTCACAGTGTCCCCTATTTTAGTCAGTTTTCTCGTTCCAAGTTTGACTTGTTTGTAGCCCTGATTCTTCTTCTAGCCAGCTTTATTGCTGCTGAGCTGTGAGCTCTTTTGCAGACTGTGCCAAGGAAAAAAAGTGTGCTGTTTTCATCAGTTGTTCAGTGCAGCACTGCCGTACAGGGTGTTGGTTATGTTGGGCTGTAGTGGAAGTAGGGTCTGGATTAGGAAGGGGCCGACAAAGAGGATATTTTAGTCAGTTTTGATCGTTCCAAGTTTGACTTGTTTGTAGCCCTGAGCAAAATTGACTTGTTTGTAGCCCTGCATTTTGCCTCTATAAAGCAGACATTGGAGAGTCTTGCTTTTGTCTCAGGTTATACTATCCTACGGTAAACCTCTAGAACCACATATTTACACCACCATCTTTATCTTTATTATACTCAATCGTGTTACTTTGTCTGTGACTATCATTGTATATTGAGAAATTCATTTATATAATAAACAACATCAGGCCAGCTGTGGCCATCTTGTCTCACTTATTGGATTATTTCAATTAATGAAAGATTAAAATAACCTCTAGGCTAGATTCTTTATTCGTGTATATTCATCATTCATAATTAAGCATTGTTTTGTGAATTAGCTTGAGTGACAGCATTTTTTCTCTTTTAATAAACTCTATAAAGCTCAACTGTTAGGGAAAAGTGTTTTTAAACCAAAAAATCTCAGTGTTGTATTGTTGGATTATTACCTGAAGGACTTGGGCTGAAATGATGGGCAAAATACAAACTTATTCAAAGATATCTACATTTACATGTTTACTAGTATGTTTTTAGAGTAATTTTTTAGATTGTTTTTAAAGATGATTTTAATGGCACTAACTGGGGCAGCACTGATTTTTATTTAGGAATTTGGCTAATGCTGGGTTGTGATTCTTGATCCAAGTATAATGTCAAGAACAGCAGCCCTTTACATCCTCCCTAAGCCTTAGTCTAAAACTGTTCACTAAACTGTTTCTAGTCTCACTATGATGGTTCACAATAATTCATGAATGTAACTTTGCCTTAAATTTATTGTGTCTAAAAGTTTCGTTGGACATGAAATAGTAAAGAATTATATTTTTTTGTCTATGTTGTATTTTTAAAACATGATTATTGCCCTTTTGTTCATAAAAATTGAGTCAACCAAAATTCCCACGTCCTTTTTTTTTTTAGTGTCCTTGTAAGTTTTAAATGATATGATCTCTAATTGGTCATAGTAACTGTTGTCAATGCATGAGTTTCTGTGACAGTATGTGAATGTGACTTGTAAGTTGGGTTAGTGATTTTTACTATGTTTGTGTCCCTAGACACAATGAACTTCATTTGACTCACAGATTGGATTGTCTCAAACAGAAACATTTTGATAATGTTTTATATTTTAGAAAGTTGTTTTTAAATTTCATCTTCCTGTTGACCATTTACATTTATGAAAACTGCTGAAACCAAAATTAGTACACACACTTTTAAGATATTAAAGATTTTCTGCTTGATTATGTTAGAGGAGTCCAGACGGTATGACTGTGGAGCTATGCAACATATTGTGATAAACAAGGACATTTTTTTCCTTTGTAAATGATTCCAATTTAAGATTTTTCGGAATCTTTTTTCTTATTTTTAAAATGATAAACAATTTTTTGTAGAGTTTACTTTTTTGTAGAGTTTTATCTATATAGGCAATGCTTATTGCTTTCAGATTTATTTTATTATTAAATAAAATATATATACAAAATGTTCACTTTTTTAAAAATTAATGTGTTTCGTATTTGACTTGTAGTTCATAACTATTTAATTCTCAATGAAATTAATTTTAAAAGAAATATTTACAAATCAACACAAGAACTTGACATTGAAATGCTATTTTACTTTGTTAGACCTAATTTAGAATGTGCATCCTATGTTAAGAGCCACAAATTCAGAAAACATAAAAAATTGTATTTACTTTCGTTTCACTTCCAAATATTAGTCTTGTTTTTAATAATCACGTTACTTGTCTTAGCAAAACTTTCCCTTTTTTGTCTGAAACAAATAACTTTTTGCGCCAATAAATTTCTAATCATGTCATACCAATAAATTTATACAAATAAAGACTATTGGAACTCAGACAATGTAACAATCAGGAATAAACTTTAAGACCCAAACACTGAATGTATGTATGTCACCGCTTAAGCCTACTATTTGCCAAGATAATCCTCATATGTGTCATTTATTATTGCTAAAATTTATGACCTACCACCCATGTCTGACTTAATGATTTCGGGCGTATCATTTTGGTGGTAAAGTTCCCCTTTCAGACCTTGTGGTCTATGATGTAAAGGTCAGGACTCCAACATTTCAGTGGACATTAAGAATATTATTCATGATGTAAACAGAATCTAAGTACAACTAGCACCCCCTCCCCCAAAACTTTGTCAAAGTCACCTCGAAGTGGGGCAGCTTTTTTACGTTAATGCAAGAACTGAACGCCTTAGGAGCTCATGTGTTCATAACTCTGGGAGACTGTATCAGGATGGATGCCCGGTCGTCTCGATGGCCCCGTGCTCCTACCTTGCCCACTGCTATCCCTCTTCAACTCTGAAGGAACATCTAAAACATGGAAAACATTTTTTAAAAAGCTTCTAGCTTCTATTTGACCAAGGGAGGTGAAGAAGATAAATGTATCTTTGTGTTTGTAAGCTCAGTGGAACTCTTTTTCCCCAGGGAAAGAGGAAGACTGGATGGCCCAGGAATACATGGCGCCTCGATTTGGAAGTAGATGGGCAAGAGGTGGGGACAGTTGGGGAAACTCGCCCAGAACCGAGATGCCTGGAGGAAGCTGGTTGGTGACTTATACCCCAGAAGGCAGAGATGAAGATAAGATGGAGAGATCTTTTTAATTGGGGAAAAAATGTATATGTAATCAAAACTAATTTCCAATTAGGGTCAATAGGAGGAGCAACTTTTTGTCATTATAATATATGCCTAACCCTTCTGCGGAAAGGCAAGGATTAGCAATGGGCGGAGCTTGATCTTGTGACGAACTAGTTACGAGTTTATACCCGAAGCAACTCCTTGCATTTAAAAAACAAGATACATTGCATCACATTTGTATTATGGGTCATTCATTTGAAAGTCATTTCAAAATACAAACCATTGATTGAAAACTGTTATTATGGAAAACTTTATTATAATCAAAAGCAAAAGTACATTTAGCGGCTGCGAATTGATCGAACATAAAAATGTTTGAGAAGTACCTTATGGAGACTTACTTGGAGCTTCCAATTGAAAATTACGAACATGAAATACGGATCAATAAGAAAAAGCCGAGAGGCGTTACGTTTACGTTACTATAGTAACATAGTCCAATCATGGATGACTGACTAAGTTCCATAGTCCAATGATTAACAAAAAGATTTTAAAATAAAACCTTGACATTGATCGACCTTTTTTTTATTTTATGAAAATCGTGACAGACTGTTCAAAGCTAGACGTCGGGACTTCTGGTCACCTTACCTGTGGCATTATATTGGCGTGACGGGACGTTTTGATGCCGCCGTTTTGGCGACGGAACGTTTTGGCGCGAGATATCATTTGACGATAATTTAATAAGCACGTAGCTTTTATAACAATGTTTATTTCCCTCTACCATAATTTTGTATGTATAGTAGGAATTCTAACATCGTTCAGCGAATTGTTTGTTTTTTTTTAATTATAAAGGTTTTGCTTATTTCATAAATATAGGCCTATAATAAGTCAGATTCCTGAATGGAATACAAGCTGTCCAGAAAGGTCGTGACCTTATATATGAGCAATATATCCGGGGAGACCAGCCACCTTCTAAACGAAAAAAGTATATTGACACAATAGTATTGTTGACTTAATCTTTGAAGACGTTATTGTAACAAGTAATTAATGAACACTTGCTAAGTATATTGACACAGACGAAAGAATCAATGTAATTGTACAAACCTCAAGGGACTTGCACACAACTTTTTAATGAACCCTTGAATTCCAGCGACTTAGGCAAATAACCATGGTGTCTATGTATACTTAACTTGAAGTATTTTGAGAAACATGGTACATGTATTATATTTTTACTTATTATTAGCAAGTGTTTGGTATGTATAGCTGGAGATACCATTCAGACATTAAATAAACCAAATGTTAATGTCAACAAATAATTGCATCAATTTTTAGTCTATCATCGTTTCATTTTGTTTTTAATTTTAAAGTAATATCTGAAAAAATTTTTTGAAACTAAAAGTGTGCCTCTTAATAAACACACATACACAAGCCGAAATGTTTTTTAAAGAAAATGATGTGAAAACAAACACACATTTACTTTTAGTACGTGAAAAATATGTCT